ATCATTGTCATATTCAGATACATTGTCATCACTTTTCGATGCATTGATGTGACTGGAGATATCAATTCCAGTAACAGTACCACAGGTTCTCCTTTGTGGACAACTATTGTGGGATGTCCTTCTGCCGTCTGTTGAGCCACATTGGCATTTGTCAGTCGTGGCATCTGCAATTACTTCTTCAGTAGATGCATCCCTGCCACAATCATGATTCATTGCACTCTCTTACAAACAATTGCCTGCTTTGATGTTTAAAGACTTTACGCTTTCTCCTATAAAACTTCGAACTTGCTTTAGCAGCATTGGTCTTCTTGCTTTGTATTGTAAAAATGAACCTGCATTCAACTTCTTCAAGATGGATGGAATATTTTGAACAAGAGGAAGACACATCCACTCAAGAATGTCAAGAATCCAATGGTACTGACAACCACACATTGTAAAAAGATAGGTCTTGCAACCTTGAAAGAAACCTATGTTGGTAGAAACATGGTGGGAAAAACGTGCAAGGTTCCAATTGTTGGACCTATACCTAGCAAGCACATTGTGCGAAGCTTCAATAGGGTTTGTTGTGACTTTACCTATTTCAGGATGTATCAGGACCTGCCTTTTCTTCACAATCTAACTTGTAAGCTAGAGTATGAAAGGACACTTCAAATTGTGGTCACTTTTGTGAGGTTTTCCATGGCTTTTTAAATTGTATTTATTTGTACAAGAACCACAGCTGCACTCTACTAATGGGTCAAAATCACACTGGCCGCCATCCCATTGGCTGAAAGTGGTGCAATGCCAAGTTTGTTATTTCTCTGAGAAAGCATTGGGGTCTTTGCAAACATTTGTAAGGCAAATTTGAAATTAGGCTTTTGCTTTTCTAATCAACTTCTCAGTGAGGCAACCTCAAATGCTAAGCATGCCTTTTCCCCTTGCAGTAGCATTCTACTTTAACACCATCATCAGTTGTCATTTGTTTTAATTTATGCAATTTGTCTAACTTTTTAGCATGATTCTTGGCAACATTATTGCCACCGCAGTACCCGACAAAGTGGAAATGTTTTAAGACAACATTGTCAGATGTGCTATCTGCATCTTGAATGTGGCATTCCACATTCATTTGATCCTTCACCATGAGTTTGAATACCTCATTAGCACCGAATCCTTCTGCTGCTTTTGAAGTTCATTCATATACTTTATCTTGACACAAATCGTCACTTCCCTTTTGACAGTTGCGATAATAGTGCAAAAGAGTGCCAGTCAAGTAATTGCTAACAGTGTATGAGCAGTTTTGGTTGAAACTGCCTCTAGTCAGCAACACAGCATCGCCACAGGTCCCTAATTTCTTCTAATCCATACCTTGCATTTCCCTTCTGGCTTCCCAGTAAACTTTATCTAAATTATCCTTTACATGTTCATACATCTCTTTAAGTGTCCCAAGAAACTCTGTCAGTGACTGTATGCATTCCAAGGATGTGATGAAACTTTCCTTATATACGGCATAAGATGTTTCAGAACAAATTGTAGCAACTTGTAAAATCATAGAAACACCAGCAACACAATTCTCCCTCTGAGATTTCAAATTTGACATTGCAGCTTCCAAAGTTAGTACAGCCAAAAGAGAGTTATGCTGCTCCCTCAATCCCAGCCAGTTCGATCGAATTTACTTTCAATTTACCTTGACAATTGGTCTCCTTGTAAATTGAATATTGTTCCACAAATTTGACAAACTGTGTAGTCTCTGTGACAGCCATGCAATTACAGGGTGTGTGTCGGTGCAAATTACTCCTGCAAGGGGTATCCAGTCTAAATGTACAATCAGGTTCACCTGCAGTGGTTTTTTTTATTTTCAGTGGCACTTAGAACATTGTCCTCTTCCTCAGTATGTACTGATTTCTCAGTATACATCTGTAAAAAAGAGAATGGAGTGAAGGAGCATGACACTAGACATTAATTTTGTCACTATAAAACATTTTGGTCATAAAACTACTTATAGATTTTTATTTGGATAAAAATTACTTGAAACACAAGGTCAAAAATGCCTACTGTTGTCAGAATAATCATTACTAATTCGGTATTAATGTAGTAATAATTTATCTTTGTTAATCAGTGAATAATCCTAGAGGCCCATCAGAGAAACATTTATGCCAGTAACTCTGCAGTAACATAGAACTGTTATCTGACATGCAACAACTGCTAATGTTATTTTTTTTTGATATGATATATATAAAAGCCTACTAGAGTCTCTCTTACATGCAGGATCATTGCCATATAACACTGCATTAGAAGTAAATACAAAACTGTGAAAAGAATATGAATGTAGACACAAATGATAAAAGGAGAAAGGTAAAAATGAATCAATTTTTGCCAAAAATGTCATTGCTAGGAACAAAAATTTACAAAAAATAATGAAGGTTTACAACACAATTAAGGTGACTCAATACATTTAACCCTACATTTTAGCTGTTTGTTAATGAGAATGTTTAACATTTCTAACACTTAAAGTGCAGTAGCTATATAAACAAATATTGGACAGAATTGCAAATAAATTATCTAAATAGCCATTGCATCTCTGGTATTTAGAAAAAGCTCTTCTTGAATGAAAAGATATGACCAGTTTATCAGGTGAATTTTTAAAAATCTCCTTGCTGATTAAATTTACCAAAAAATAGTCTTTTCTTTATAATTTGTTTCCTTTACTTGATGGCAAAAAGGTAACCACATAAAGTGTATTTCCCTAATCTTGATGCATTGTTCAAAATTTACCATACAATATCAATTACAAAACAAACTTTAACTGAGGATTTAAATTTACATGCATGAATAATTTATTGTTCCGATGGTACATGTATGCGTAAAAAAGTATACGAAAACTGCCAGACTACAGCCACTGCAGACCAGAATATAATTAATTAAAAATGTATAATTAAGTGGATAGTGCCTTAGGTTAGCTAAAGTAACAGATATTTTTGCGAAAAGCGTTGAAATTACTGATAAAAAGATCCAGACCTGGGGTCAATTACAGAAGCTAAATTACAATAACGCATTTAATTACACTCCTTTTGCAAGAATAGGCTCAATTACAGTTACAATGACACAATGATAGTGTAACTTCAAATTACATTTTCAATGACAATTACAGGTTCATGTAGTCAGGCGGGGCCTGACCCTCGCAAACAGGAGGGATAGGATCAGTCCGTATACACAACTCATTCCAACTTGAAAGGCTTGGGGTGTGGCTGGCTGCATGATATTGCGCAAGTGCAGCTAGAATAATGATAATAATAATAGTAATAATAATAATAATAATAATATTAATGAACATTTAAAAATGTCTACAAATGTCATATGCTATGGCTGTGGAAAGGACTTGTCCAACCAGGCAACCAATAGATATAATATACTGAGTGACAGCTGTTCAAAAGCACTCCCTGTTTGGAAGAAGTTAGTTAAGAAGAGATTTTTGGAGATTGGTATTGAAGTTGAAATTGATCAACTTTTGAGTGATGAATCTGGTTTTCATGGCAGAATGTGCAGGATTTGTGTTTTAGCGTTGTATAGGTGAGTCAATATTATATATTATTACTAGTCTACAAGACTACATGTTTTTTCGTGTTTAATATTTACTATGTCTCCCATGTAGATATGAAAAGTTGAAGCAGAGTACTATAGAAAACATTACTGAAGCTGTGGACAAGATTATGCTAGAAGCTAGATGGCCCCAATTGACTAGAGGAAGAGGATCTCTGAAACATTTCCAGATGAACAACCAAGCAATCCTCGTAAAATCAGTGTAACAACAGTAGCAGGATCATCATCACAAAATGTCACAGGATCTCCAGATGTTGCCGTAGGAAAATAATATGAAAATATTGTACATTACATCCGTCCAATAGATTGTCATTAAAAGTTCTGAGAATCAGAAGACGTACAATATGACTGTAGTAACTTAGGAAGTATTATTAACAACTAAAACTAACTGAACTGTTCAACTTACAAAAATCAACCTTAAGTACACAGACAAAACACAAGATGTGGTTAACAATAATTATCTAACTGTACAGACTAATTAGAATCACATAAACCAAACACAAAATAGTTTACTACATTCCCTCCTACTTAAGTTTGGAGTAGAGGGGCAAATCGAATGATTGGCACTGAAACTCTAGTTGACCGACATCATGGTTCAAGTGCAGGAGCAGGTGGTTGCTGAGGTGGGTTTGTTCAAGTAGTGGTGGGGATTATAGTGGTGGTAGGGCCTAAACCTTCTGATTGACCAGTAGAGGTAGTCATGTCTTCTGGGAAATGAGGGCAAAGGTGATCTACGTGCATACGTAACACAACACCACTATTAGTCTCTACATGATAAGAGAGAGGTCCTGTAATCTTAATTACCACTGCAGGTATCCATTTCTTATGGAGGACATCTCTAACAAAGACTTTATCCCCTACTGCAAAAGTTCTTGGTCTCTTGTCAGTCATTAGCTTCCTCTGCTTATCTTCTACTCTCTTAGAAGCATCAGGATGCAATAGATCCATAATAGTTCGTAATCTCCTACCAATCAAGAGCTGAACTGCTGACAGGTTAGTTGTTGTTTGTGAAGTTACTCTGTACTTGAACCGAAACTGAGTGAGGCAGTGTTCCATGAGTCCGTCTAATTTGGAAACAGTAGACTTGAAGGTTTTTACTGCCCTTTCTGCAAGCCCATTAGAAGAGGGGTGGTATGGAGAGGTACAGATGTGCTGAATGCCCATCTGAGACATAAAATCTTGAAATTCTCCACTCTCAAATCCAGTACCATTATCTGTCACAATCTGTTCAGGGATGCCATGAGTGGAAAATATTGATTTGAAGACCTTAATCGTAGCTTCTGCAGATGTAGAAGGCACTATACAAACCTCCAACCACTTGGAATGGGAATCAACCAAAACCAGGAACAACTTGCCTTGGTATGGTCCTGCGTGGTCCATGTGAAGTCTGGTCCATGGCTGAGTTGGCCACTCCCACGGATGTAATGGAGCCTTTGCCGGACTATTTCTATTTTCTTGGCAGTGATGACCATGCTGTACGTTAGTGGCTATATCAGTATCAAGCCCAGGCCACCAAACATATGACTCGGCTAATACTTTCATTCGATTCACTGTGGTGGTATGATTACCCAAAATCCCCATAATATACAACAATCCACCACACTTAGCTCTTCTCGGCGATTGTAATGTTGCTGGAGATCCTTATTAGGAGAAGAAGGCCACCCACTAAAAATTAAGTGGTCAAGACGAGTGAATAATGTATTCTTACTAGTCCAGTTCCTTATATGCTTTGCAGTGACT